ATATATATATAACTTTAGTGTTTACGTTCTAATAAGCTTTATTCCAGTATGTGTTGATGCTATGAATGGGTACCCTATAATTAGACTGAAGATCTGAATCTTGTATCAGAAAGAAAAGTTGGCAAAACGTGACAGATTTTGCTCAGACAAAGTAATTGGCAAGCCAGCGACTCCAACTTGAGGGGAATTATGAAGCTTAAAAGAAAGAGATTCTACTTCCCACCAACACATTTGTCTACTTCCCTTTCTTGTTGTTTTAATACTCACTCTGTTTTCGGAACAGCTTTTCTGAGCCAGAAGAAATCAGACTGTGCTAAATACTTGCGGGTTTGCAGGACATTGCCAAAGTAGTCCGATTCTGAAAATTTGACCTGAATAAAACAAACCACAACATCATTGTCCTAAGTGAAAAGACGAGATGGCTCTAAAAACAGATGTCAGCACATGAAGCAGCAACCGGCAGATAAAGTGCAGCCTTCAGGGAATCTCTCAGCCATTACTGGTTAATCCACGACCCACAAACCCACAAAATTTAATCTCAGCGATTTTCTTTTAATACAAAATCTCAAAAATCAATATGGTCATTTCTGGATCACAGCAGAAAGAGAGAAGCTACAGTCATTTACAATGTGTTCCATTTACCTTATAATTGAAAAAGCTACTTTAACCTTTATAGAATACATTACTTTAGGTTTGAAAAGTCTTGGCTCATGAGCTCTTGATCTTTTCTAAACTGTGTACTTTATTTGTCACAAAAGAGTTTCCTAATAATATTCAGTTTAATCAGCTGAAACCTCATTTAGCTTATAGGTGATGATTTAGTCAAATGTTAAAATCCAATTTACTATAATCAGAATTTGTTCATAAAGGGAAAAAAATAAAATAACTCAGAGACCTATTTTCCACCCCAAGAACAATGGAGTCACAAGAAGAATTTAATTATTAACAGTTTATCTATTACCACAAAAGGGCTCTAGCTGCTAAAAATTAATGAAATTACAGGGGCAATTCATAGATTATAGCATGAATGGAAATACAGGAAGTTGATGATGCAAAACAATATTGTTTATTGTGATAAAGAAACAGACATAATTGATTATTGAGTTCCTTTCTTTTGTTGAGAATGGCAAGCAATTTAAATTCTATCACATTCTATCTACAAAACTAGCAATAATCAAACAAAATATTGTAATAATACATGTACCATAGTGAAAGCATCAGTCCATAATGATCTCTAATGCTTTTGTTCTGAAATATATTGCTGTCATAAAAATATTTAAAAATAAATATATAATTCTGGCAAATAAGAAAAATACACGTATGAATAAATAAATAACCAAGAGCAATTAAATTCATATTGAATGTAATTTTTAATAACTTTACACCATGATTTTTAAAAAGTAAACACTGCACTATAGCAAATGCTTATATTCTATAAATCCCACAGATACTGTATTACAGACAGGAATGTACATAATTTGACAGTTATAGTCTTAACAGGTCTTCTATTTGCTGGCCAATGTCTGGCTTACATTTATCTCTGATCTAAGATAGAATGGGTACTCATGTCTGTGGATATATTTTTATGAATGAATCATTTTAACATCTTTGCAGAAGACCAGGCCAAAATATAAAGGAAGGTGTAAAACAACTGAAAGCACATCGAAAAAAGCAGGAATTAAAATACCAATTCCTGGCATCTTTGGTGTTCTTCTTGGCCAACAAATTATAAAGATATGACTTTAAGTTGTCCTTTCCTCAAAGTGCTTGGCTGTGGGAGTGAGGGTTGATAAATAAATCATAGCATATTCACATAGTGGAAAACAATACAGTTTAAATGAAAGTTCTGTATGCACGAACATGAAATAATCTAAAAAGGTGAATAAGGCAAGTTGTATGTATGAAAGTATTTGAAGTTTTAGAACATGCAAAACAATACTATTTATTAATTATGGATACATAGTTATGGAGCAAAGGTACAAAGAAATGCATAGGAATTATAAATCTGAATTCAACATAGTGTTTATATTCATGGGAGGAGATAGACATGGTGAAAGAAGATTAGATCAAGGAGGATTAAACACCGAATTGAAAATATATCTCTTTTATTTATTTAAAATCTGTGTGTATTCTGGGCATGGTAGTCCTCCTCTACAGTCCCAGTTACTTGGGAAGTTGACACAGATCACTTGAGCCCAGGAGAGCCCAGAAGTTTGAGACCAGCCTGAGCAACATAAAGAGACTCTACCTCTAAAATAATAACAAAAATGTGCATACACGTAAAAAACTAATTCAATAACATTTTTTGCAAACAGGTATAAAAATATTTTACAAACTGTTCTAATGTTATAGATGTTTCACAATTTTAAAATGGACTATATTTTAAGATGAAGGATATCTCTTAGCCTCAGAAAATTATAGAGAAAGCATTTTGCTTAAGAAAGCAAACTTCACTAGCAGTCCTAAGGCATTCCTGTGTCCTGTGGATAAGAGATGTGTTTCTTGTTCAATCCTGAGCTTCTTTTTGGCTTTTGTTTCCCAGACACTTTGGCTAAGACCTTCAGAACCTGACTAGAAATTCATAAGTCCTTGGATTCAGCAAATTGGCCCAATGGAATTTCCTTCAAAAATATTTACTATTTCTATGTAACATAGAATCAGTTTTTACTTTTAGGCAGGTTTGCTAATTATGATATTTTCCTGTTTAAGCTGAAGAAAATAAAACCTGACAGCCAGATTGGTCCAGGGCCATTAAAACCTATCCAAAGACTTCCAAAGAAGAAAGAGTTCCAAATCTAAAATACCCCAAATAATAAAGATCTACTACACCCATAAAAATAATTATGAGAGGGTAAAACTCAATGAAGGCTGGTTATAATCACCATAGCTCTTTTGTTTTAAAAGACAACTCATATTAATGAGTAGGATGAGAAATGTGTTATCTTTGCAAATGCCTTCATTGATTTATTCCACTTATTTAAAGGAAATCACAAGTAATGGGGGACAAACACTACTTTTTCTTCTGAGATGGGTTAAGTGTTTGGAGGTAGGAAGGGGCCAATTATTGCTATTCTGAAATGATAAGACTGATAGACAAGAACCAGGGTAAAGAGCTTATGAAACTGGGCCGAGCCTTACAATGCCAAAGAGTTGGCTCCTTTCTCAGTGTAATTTACATTGTCTAGTACAAAACAGATCCAACAGAAAGAGTACAAGGAAGGGGGAGGAAAAGTTAAGGATTGGGGATTAGAGTAGAAGCAATGAATGCATAACTCATGATATGGCTTAATGAAACACTATATGGTCATTAAAAGAATAATAACAAAGACTATGGAAGACAATAACAAAACAGTGTATTAACTATAAAGATTAGTATGAAATTATATGCAAACATCTATTATAGCTATACAGAAATACAGAAAAATGAAGCACTTTTAGGGAAGTATATATTATTATGTTCAGGTACTAATATTATTGGCAATTTTTCATTCCTTTTCTCTATTTTCCAAATTTCCTGGCATGTAATAATACTTGAATAATATCAAAGATTCTTTCAAGTGTGGTGGCACTTGCCAGTAATCCCAGCACTAGAAAAGCTGAGGCAGGAGGATCATTGTGAGTTAGAGACCAGCCTAAACTATATAGCAGGACTCTGTCTCAAAAATACAAAAAAAAATTCAAAGATTTCAAAAGGTCTTCATATGATTAAAAAAAAAAAAAACAAGAAAAAAACTGGAATACCAGCAACCATTGGGAGAGTTCTGTTTATCGAGGAGATAGTAACAAAAGTGACTTGCGTGAATATTTTAAAGTCACTTGTGTTTGAAAAAAAATAAATAAACTCTTAAAGGGACAATGATTAGGTCAAAAGCTTAATTTCCTTTCAGTTACTGGAAAAAAGTCTAGGTCCAGCTGATAACGACTTTGAATCAATTCCATCTCTTGACCTTTCAGTTGAGTGACCTTTGGCAAAGTAATTGGGGCTATAATGTCGCTCATGGGAGCAGCTGTCCGGATTATAAAATTCATTGGAATCTGGATTTCTGCTCTTGGAAATACTATCCTTGATGCCAAGCACCAAATGCCACGGGATAAATGGAGGAATAAATTTATCATGGCCTCCAAAAGGGGATATACATATAATAAATGCAGAACAAGGAAACACACATGACTTCTCCATAGACAGAGTAAAGATGTGTTTACAAGACATTACTTATGTCAATGGAAGTATAGATTCTAACACATTTGGTTTTTTTAAAAAACTTTTTTAATACATATTTAGTACAGGGTCTACAGTGTCTACAGGGTCTCACTGCATAGATCAGACTCATAGTGATTCTCCAATTTTCAGCCTCCCAAGCGCTAGGATTACAGGCCTGCACCACCACGCCCAGTCTCAATCACCTTCTCTGTGTGCCTGGGGCGGGACCAGCATGGCAAGACAGGGATCGAACACCCGGTCCCTACGTCTGCCTAAGCAGTGCTTTAACCCACTGAGCTACCTGGCTGGCCCAAACTCACTTGTTTTTAATTCAAATCCATTTAAAGATATTCTGAGATACATGCAAATAGCTATAAGAAAGATTTTATGTCAAGCAACCAAAGAATTATCTGAACACTTAATGTAATCCAGATTATGCATTTATATTTTTCATTAAACAACAACAGACCAATAAGCAATATTTGTGTGTTTAGATGTCTTTGTTCCTAAGTAATGTGTGTATAGACATGTGTCTGTGTGTGTGTGTGTGTGTGTGTGTGTGTGTGTGTGTACGAGTCCACCAAAAAATGTACACTTACTTCAGGAAAGGAAATATAGTGTGATGTTTTATCAACAGATGGTGTTACCCTCATATGGGAGACCCAAGAAGATATCATATATTAGAGAAAACCCACTATACTGCCGGCCCTTAGAGAAGAAGCTGAAAATGTATGTACAGCAATCTCTCAATGACCACGGTGACCCAGACAGCAGCTCCTTGTACTATTAAATATCTGGACACTAATGGCCACACTTTGAACAACTCTTATAATTTGAGAGGACAAAGGCAACTTGTATTTATCTCATGATGTCTCAATAATTTTAGTATTGAAATAGTTACACTAGTTTTTCTTTTCTTGAAGTGTGTAAACATTTTCTAGCAAACTCTGAACATACAGGGGTAAATTCATACACATAGTATACCATGGAAGACGAACTTTTGCTAAACATCTGCACAAAGATGACTGAGAGACTACCATCCAATGATGCCCCCATCCATGCTGGGGAGAAGAGGATAGCCTCTGTACCATAACCATCACAGCACTCTGGATGGAGGCCCAGCTGGAAGGTTGGTAGGTACCAGAACACTCCATTTCCAGTGCTTACTCGTGGTTCTCCGGTGCTGTAGTGATCAGGGATCTCAAGAGAGGTGAGAGAAATAATGGAAATAATTTCTGGATTTTTTTTCCTCAAGGACTACAAAATTATTTTACTATTCAACAACTTTCTTTTCTGAAGCATTCCACTCAAATAGCAACTCACTCTTATATAGCTATACTTCTCATTATATACATAACACACACATTCCACTGGCTGACCAATGTTTACCCTAGAGAATAAAAATGTGTCTCCTGGCCTGCCATGCTGGCCCTGCCCCTGGGACACACTGAGGTAGAGATTGAGACTGGGCATGGTGGCATGCACCTGTAATCCCAGCACTTGGAAGGTTATAAACAGGAGGATCACTACGAGTCCAATCTATGCAGTGAGACCCTGTACACCCTGTAAACCCTGTCCTAAATACAAAAAAGAATAAATATGTGAGTTCACCATATAAATATATATATATATATATATATATATATATATAATCACCAATCACTAAAAAAGTTGTTTCCAATCCTATGCAAATGGGGGTGGGCTATGATTCTGAATGTAGCCCCCACTGCACTTCTTTATTGGCTTTCACGAGGATGCCTGAGGTGCTAATTATGCAGTTATCTACCTTCAGTGAATCAGCTACCAGCTACCTGCCTTTCCTTTCACTCTGTTAGTACCTCTAGGGTAAGGCAGTCTGCAAAGGCTTGCTGCCTGGGTTCCTTTCTTAATTGCTATCCTGCCCACTGACGCCCTGGAGGGAAATTAGGCGATATCAAGAGGTAAAAATGTGCCGTGTTGCTGCTCTCTCTACTCCCACCACCTTGTCCTGGAAGAATCTTCAGTTCTTCCTCCACAGCCCAGCTTTGGAGCGGCAGTTCCTTCTCTACTCTCCTAAGTGACAATACTATTATGTCCTCCTGTGCTCCTAGACTCAGGGTAGCAGCTGCTTCCTGAACATATTCATTGCTGGGTCTGCATTACCTTCCTCTGTTTTGCCTTCCAATTTATTTCCGGTACTAAATCCTCCATTTGAAATAGCTAGTGTGCTTTCTGCTCTCCCGGCTGATACAGCAACCTTTGCAAAATTGGTATAGACTCACTCTTGCATCTATTCCATTACTGATCAATGAAATAGAATAATGCGTCACAAGGATAATTTGAAAACAGACTGGCACTGACCATTTTAGGCTAATAGCCTTTACTGGATGCTGCTGTGGATTCAAATGAAAGCACTGCTTTTCTTCTTGTTCTTCTGTGTGCAATTGTGGGAGGAGTACTAAGGATACAATCTAGGGCCTTCGCACTAAGCTACACTCCCAACACTTTTTTGAGACAGGGCCTTGCGAAGCCACTAAGTTGCCCAGGCTGGGCTCAAACTTTTGAGTCTACTGCCTCAGCCTGAGTGCTGGGATGATAGGTGTGTACCACTCCTCATCCTTCTTGCCCTTTTCAGAGACTAAGAGGATTATTGTTCAGGAATGCTTTGTGAAATATCTCCATTTACCTTGTCTTCCTTAGAGGAAAAACATTCTGATTCTGTTTCATGTTTGCCTCTCAATTCTTTTTCATTTGGTCTGCAAACTTCAGTTTGCAACCTTTCTCCTGGGCTTCAGTCTGATCCATCCCCTGATCTCACTCTTCTTTTGTACTTGTGCCCAATGAATCCTACCCTCACCTCTGTCAAATGGAGTAAGCTGCCTTCAATAGCCTCTCATGCACAGAACTCGTGGTAGCAGAATTTTTCATAGGGTCTGCAGTAATCCTTATCTACATGCTCCTACATGGCCCTATTTTGTCCCAGCAATACCTTGGTCCTCTTGCTATTAACCTTGGTGATACTATTATGATCTATTCATCATCCTTTCCCTATTTTCAAGTTAGACCTTATTCATTTTCTTTATGAGTTTCTGAATGCAAATGGCTTTTTGCTTCACGTATTTGGATTGTGTTCACCATTGGTTTCATAAACTGTTAGAATCTCTTGGATGTGACTGTGTCTGCTTTGGCACTGAGTCAGATGAAAGCCATTTCTTTGCAAAAGTGCTTAAAAATGTTCGTGTCTAATGGCATCAGTTCAGGCCCTGGAGAAATGAGGAAGCGTAGCCAGCAATGCATCCTGTTTGGCACCTGGTTTCCTTTCATAAAAGGTACTATATTCAGTGAGTTCTTAAATCTGGGGCTCTCAACTCAGACAGCCATAGGCTGCCAGCAAAATGTTGATCAACTAGATACGTGCGTGAGCCCTGAATGCTACCTGAATTGATTAAAGCTTGGGACCAGTCCATCTGTTGAGCCTTTTCAATCAATTAGAGGAGACTGAAAACTGTATGTGTTAATTCAGGATGACTTTTACAATGAAAATAATCTACTATGATGAGTGAAAATGGAGGACATCATAGATCACACTTACAGTTTTGCTTGTGTGACACTATAGGCTCTAAACACATTAGGTATGTGGTTTGATCCTCACAACAATCTGTCTATATTATCATTTCCATCTTCAAATGAAGAAACTAAGGCACAGAGAAGATATACAACCTATCCCAGATCCCTTAGGTTGTAAATGGAAGACTGGGTATTTCACCTCCAGTAATCTGACTCTCAGGTTTATGTTCATCACTCATACTCCAAACCCTCTCTCAAACTTTCTCTTCTCCATCTGGGCTTGAAATATATACCAACCAGTGGAATTGTCCAGGTTCTTCTTCTAACGTAATCTGTGCCCTGGTCATGTTCTTCTTGGTAGCAGCAGCTCTCATCTTTATCCATGAGGCAACCTTATAAGGAGCCTACTGTGCACCAGACAGTGTGCTAGGAACTTCTCCAGTCATAAAAATCTCATCTCACCTTCCCAACAAAACTAAGAATTAGATATTATCTCCTGCATACAGTTAACCAAACGGACACTGATGGAAGCTTAGTAGCCTTCACGGGATCAAGCAACTAACTAGGAAGTACAAGAGGCAGAATTCAAATCAAACCCTGTGACTCCAGAGCCTATGCCTGTAACCACTCGACAATATGGTCGCCATTCTCCTGTTCTGCCTAGCAACTCTAGAAAAGCAGCTCCCACCAAGTTCGGTAAATGAGAAAAACAAGATTTCTTGTGAGGTAGAAAACTGCTATATCAGAACTATTTATAGGAAAGGAAATAACAATGAGTATGAGTAGAAAGGCTTCTAATGAATGTTTCTACCATAAAATCTGCATCCCCAAATATTGGAATAAAAATGAATCATTACTGTTCCTCATCAATAACTTACTGAAAGTATGTATTCTAACTCATATCAAATTGTTGAGTCAAGGATATGTACTTAATTTGCCAAATGGCCATAAAGTTTAATGAAGTTAACTCCCAAGAGTCCAATTTATTACTATTCACTTAATATCAATGAAGCAAATAAAAATATGTAACAACAAACATTACACAATCACCATTAGAAGATGCCCATTGTAAAATACTCAGTACTTTGTTTAATTCTTTCCTTTATAATCAAATTAAGCCAAATGCAAGTCCCTTTACTTCACGAAGCCCACTCAACTATGCATTCTTTCTGCTACTTCATTTATTTGGAATCTGCTTTAAATCTTGTGATATACCTGGCACACTAAAGTTCAGATCTAGCCAAGAAATAAATCAAAAGTTGGTACTTTGTGGCATCACCAGGTTTAATTGCTTGGACTCGGGTTAGTTGAAAGGCACAAGGCCAGTAAAACTTGCCAGAAAAAAAATACAGTAAATTTAGCACTTACTGCCTTGAGGTCTTCATTAACATGAGTATTATTCATTATAAAATCAGGATAGCCAACTTTTGCCAAAACAGCCCTTGCCTATAAAAAGGAAAAAGAAAGATGATGTCAGAGTTTCAGCACTTAAATCATTAATAATCACAAAAAGTAGGAATGCAAGCTTCATGTGAAAGCTACACTTATTGAATTTCTACTATATTTAATCCCAACCCTTGGGAAAGACACAAACAAACAGCAACAATAACAAAGTTAAGGGCTGGCCAAATAGCTCAGTGGATTAAAGCACCTGCAAGCAGGCCCCCAGCCTGCTGTGCCGGCCCTGCTGCCTGGGCACACTGAGATGGAAATTGAGACTGGGCATGGTGGCACTTGCCTGTAATCCCAGCTCTTGGGAGGCTGTAAACAGGTGGGTCACTATGAGTCTGATCTAGTAGTGAGACCCTGAACACCCTGTAGACTCTTCCCTAAAAATACAAAATAATAATAATCATAATAACAAAGTAAGCCTCTGTCCTCAATATATTAAACAGATAGTGAGTAAAGCAGATAACTGCTACAAAAATAAAAGAAATATACAATATGGTTATCAAAGTCCAGAGCAGAGGCCATTTCCTTAAGGGGAAAAGACAACTCTTACATAATAGCTAGAATTTAAACAGCAAAGCTGAAAAAAAATCCCAGAAGAGAAAACAACAGAGAAGAAAAACACTTATGAACTATACATCTGATAAAATTTATTTTCAAAATACATAAGAAACTTAAATAATTCAATAGTCAAAAAATAGGTAGCTAGATTTGAAAGTGAGCAGTGGAGCTGAAAAGATATTTCTCACAACATGGAATGTGTGTTCAACAAGCACACAGGGAATGTTTTAACATTGTTAATCATCAAGGAAATGCAAGTGAAACCCCCAATGAGCGGTCCCTTCACTCTAGTAAGAATAGAGATTATCAAAAAGAGCATGCATGTATTGGTGAGGATGGTGAGAAAATAGAACACTTGCACACCGGTGGTGGGAATGGAAATCCATGCAGCCACAGTATGGAAGCTACTCTAAAAATTAAAAATAAAACTACTGTGAGACCCAGCAATTCCCTTCCTAGGCATATATTCAAAGGAAATGAAACCAGTAGGTAGAACAGACATCCATCTGCACTTTCATGTGCATTGCAGTATGTTAGTTTTTTGTTTTGTTTTGGTTTTTGTGCAGGGTCTCACTACACAGTCCAGACTCGTAGTGATCCTCCCAATTTCTGCCTCCCTAGTATTGGGATTACAGGCGTACGCCACCACGCCTGGACACCATCACCTGGCTCAGTGCACCCACAGGCAGGGCCAGCGTGGCATGTGAAGCCAGGGATCGAACCCTGGCCCCTACACTTACCTAAGCAAATGCTTATTCCTCTGAGCTATACCACCGGCCCTTACAGCACTGTTAATTGTCAACACAGAAACATGAAATTAAGTGTTCATCATCCGATAAGTGTATAAAGAAAATACGGTTATATACACAGTGAAATACTATGCAGCAAGAAATTGTTTTATTTGAGAAAACACGGATAGAAGTACAGATTACTATGTTAAGTGACATACCAAGGTACAGAAAGACATGCTGCATGATCTCACTAATATGTGAGAATTTTAAAAGACCAATTCATAGAAGCAGAAAATAAAATGACAGTTACCAAGGGCTAAGGACTAGACTCGGGGTGTTATTAGTGAAAGGATACAGAATCTCAGTCAGACAAGGGGAATAAGTTCAGGATATTTTTTTTTTATTTTAAGGGAAGGGTCTACAGGGTGTTGAGGGTCTCACTACTAGATTGGACTCGTAGTGATACATCTGTTTACAGCCTCCCAAGAGCTGGGATTATAGGGGCACACTACCACGCCCAGTCTCAACTGCTGTCTCAGTGTGCCCCAGGGGCAGGGCCAGCACAGCAGGCCCAGGGATCAAACCCCTGGCCCCTGCACCTGCTTGCAGGGGCTTTAATCCACTGAGCTATTTGGCCGACCCTAAGTTCAGGATATCTAATGTATAACATGGTGACGATACTTAATAGTAATATATTGTATACTTGGAAGTTGCTAAGTGAGACTGTAAATGTTCTTACCACAAAAAAATAACAAATAGATGAGGTAATGCACGTACTACTTAGCTTCATCTAGTCATTCTACAATACACATATATATCAAAACATTTTAGTGTGTGCCAAAAATACATAAAAATTTTATCTGACAATTTAAATGAACAAATATGAAAAAGACAGGAACAGAGGAAACACATGGACCACAGGGATGCCAAGAATTCCTGAATGTCGTGCTAATGAGTCTCGATTTTAGTTTATAGCTAAGAGAGAGCTAAATATTTTTAGCAGGAGAGTAAAAAGAGATGAGTCATGCTCCAGAAAGATTATCCGTGCAGCGCTGTGAACAACAGCCAGGATGCCAGGAAGATTGGCGGCAGGGGTCCAGAGTCATTTAAGATACGTCATAACAACATAACCATCATTTTGATAGGCACAGATGCTAATTATCCTCTGGATTTTGCACTATACTGGGGATGGAAAAAGGAAAAAAGAATCACCCTAAGAAAATGTAAGGAGGCTTTGGCATAGAGGAACAAATTGAAGCCCCTAGGTCAAACTCAACCTCCTTCCCCTACCTGTTTTTATGGGTCAAGTTTTACTGGAATATAGCCACACTTATGTATGTAGTATCTATAGTTGCTTTAGTGCCACAGTTGCAGGATTGAGTAGCAAGAGCAGAAACCCTGTGGCCTACAAAGCTTCACATATTTTCTCTAGGCCTTTACAAAGTGTGTCTTAGAAGGTGTGATACCAAGTACGGAGAATGCTGCTACCGACTGCCATCTGATAGAAAGGTAGGCTTATAGAAACATGACCAGTGTATCTTCTTCCACTTTATTCACTGTACCTGCACTGTGTGGCTCTGGGTCTTCCCCTAAGTCAAAATGATAGTGAAAAGTAAATATTTTAATTGATTCGGGACATTGAGGCAGTCACGATAGTGTTTTAAAGACACTCATGAGAGAGGACTTATGGAGCTCCTTCAAGACAGTGGCAAGAAGGATGGGACAAGTGTTTTCAGAGCAAGGGGAAGCATTTTGAGGGGGACTACTGGCAGTGTATTTCATTGTAGCTTTTTAAAATTTTAAATATTCACCGTATTGTTCAATCATACCTTGTATAACGTAAACTTCTAGGCTTCCTTGTAGGATTAGACTAGTTCAGTGATGGCCCCTGGATTCACACCCTCCCCCACCACTCAGCCCTCACTTTCTTGCTTTGCCAAGTCCTTGCTTATTTTTCTTGGGAGTATTTCATTAATAAATCATTTGCCCATGAATCCTGGTCTCCAGATTTGCCTTCAGATAACCCAGCGTAAGACCCAGGCAACCCCAAACCTCTTTTATTTCAGCAAAACAACAATGCTAAATCAGCAACCTTTATACACTGCTCTTGATAACATGTTTTTTTTTCTTCAGTCCTTTTCAATTTTCCTCACTCAGAAATAAATACAATACAATAGTACATTTTCTTTATCTTCCTTGAGATAACTCAAATATTAAATAGCAGCAGAAACCCACAACTTAAGACTGAGAGAGGACTTTACAAGTGCCATAGGACACAATCATAATGGGTTTTGCTAGTCCAGAGACTCAAATATAGCAAAGATCAAATTTTGCCTTTAAAACCCTGTGAGTTGTACATGCTAAAGGTCTGATGTGATCCAAATAGCAGACGACTAGAAGTTAAAAGTCCCCCAACACAAAACAATAGGTCACACAGCTATGTTACCTTGTTCTCAAATTGTTATTTTCTCCACTGTATTTCATTTCTTGCTGTATATTAGTAGCTCACCACAACTCATATGTATAACTTTAGCAAGTAAAGAGCTCCAGATTGTTCTTTCCACTCAGTCCCCCAAAATAAAAAATAAGCTGAGTCATCTGCAATTGTTTCCTGAATACACTGACCTTTCCAGAGCATGCTGATGAATAACATTGTTTTACAAATCTCAAGCTCTGGGACCTCTACTGCAGTATGGAATCTCATAGAATACATTACCTTCTGCATTCTATACACAGGTTATTGGATCTTTTATTTTTTTTAGCATCACCATGAGTTAAACAGAATCAGACCAGATATGCAAAGAATCCTTATTTCCTTCATAAGAATACATAGTTAAGATAAGGTAATAATAGTAATAGCAACATTGACAACAACGGAATAGGGTGCTCTTTCTCTCAGTTCTTTACTTGTGTCTCTTCAGACTTCAGACTCGAATGGTCCTTCTATCAGAGTTTGCTGTCAATTCTACACCACCTCAACTGCCCTATTCTACATTTTCCCTGATAAGCTTCAGAATCATACCTCTCAAAAGACCAGGGCTCAAGATTAGTAGTGAAAACCAGTCCTAGGCCATTGCAAAGGTGTAAGAGAGCAAATCATTACTCACTGACTGCTGATAACCATAGGCAGGGACATGGACATCCACAGGGAGGAGAAGCAGCACTTTGCCAGCAACTTCCAGGTATTCTCCTGGGAAGACCCCTTCAGTGTGTAGGCAGCAGACATCCTGGGCAGCCTCTGCCTTCACTCCCCAGGGCAGCAGTGGTTGCATAACCCTTCAAATCCCAGTGTTAATCATCTTCCTGCTTGATATACCTAGAAGGGCATCCACTTTCCCACAAGAATCCTAATGCAAATAGTGATTGCATCACTTTTTTTTTTCCGGTACCAGGGATTGAACTCAGGACCTTGCACTTGTCAGGCAGGCACTTACTCTACTGAGCTATCTCCACAGCCCAAAATTCAGGCTAACACATTTTCTTCCAACTTTTTTCAGAATGAGAGAGGTGAAGCACCTATACCTAATGGCTTGCTGAAGGACTAAGTATTAGTGAGGCAGGTCTGAAGACAATTACTCTACTGGTTACATGGACCAGAACAAAAAGCAAGTCCCACTGCAAAACTGAGAAGAGTGGTATGAATATTTAACACTACATCCTGCAGTGAATATTATAGACTACTTGCAGGATCATTGTTTTTTGTTT